AGACTGAGAAAATGAGAAAGAGAGAAAGGGGGAGAGGGAAATTTTGAGTCTCTGATATCCGTGTCCCCAAGGTCAACCACATCTCTGATTCTCCAGGAACTGAGCCAGTAAATTCCAGCTTAGGCTACACTGAGTTATATTTACGGAAAACCAAAGGATGAGTGAATTCGCCATCCTCGTTATTCTCTTTAATGACTCACACTGGCCCATCATATGGGTTCAACATAATTTATTAACCACTCAGTGTCTGGTCAGCATTTGACTCTTCCCAAATCCCCCTGCCACCAATGACGTGGGAAAGATCCTTTGTGTGTTCATCCTTTTCCACATGTGTGCAATTATATCACGTGGGGCAATTTCTAGACGTGAACTTGAACATCAAAGTGTGCTCTGCTGCCCTTGACCCCCAACCCTGCCTTGGGCGTACTAAGTGATGGACCATCCCCCAGGCCCAGTTTCCTCTTGTCCTTCTGTACCACAGGCTCCCAGTAAGTCTTGTGGCCAAACCTGGACAAGGAAAGACAGGCCTGAGGATATCGGGCACGTTTGGAAGGCTCACTTGCAGCTAGGGTCTCGCAGGCCAGAGCCTCAGCAGCCCTAAGATTCAGGGGTGGCCCATCTGCCAGGCAAAGCCTGCCTCCAGTTCCCAGTCATGAGAAAAAAAATGAGAAATCAGAGAAAACTATGAAAGGGAGGGACCTCAGAGATGATTAATCCCAGGCACACACCCTGCCCACCACCCACCATGCCCCACGTGGCCCAGTGGGCCCCGTGTGGGCCAGGATTTTTGTCTGCCCTGTGGCAATGCCAGAAGAGTGTATGGCACATAGTAGGTCTTCAAAAAACATCTACTGAATAGATGGGTGGATGGATGCATGGATGGATGGATGGATGGACAGATGGATGGATGGACAGATGGGTGGATGGACAGATGGGTAGATGGACAGATGGATGGATGGATGGATGGATGGATGGATGGATGGATGGATGGACGGAAGGATGGACAGATGGGTGGATGGATGGATGGATGGATGGATGGACGGATAGATGGACAGATGGATGGATTACTCCAACTGTGCAGCCCAAATGGGTTCAGGGGCAAGTTCTGATCCTTACTCATTCATTAAGCCCCTCCCCTCTCCAGGTCTCAGTTATCCCATATGTAAATGAGGTCATTGAATTAGACCATCTCTAAGCTCCTTCCAGCTCCCTCACCTCCAAACCAGCTGTGTCCAACAGGTGAGGAATTCTGAGCTTTGGGGCAACAGAAAACATCACCTACATGGTTTTACTCTGGTTGGATTCAAGGGCTGGACCTTTCCTATCTCTCCCCTCAGGGGCGGGAAGTCCATCAAACTTCTTTCTAAATGTTTGAAGTGATGTTTGCATAAGTTCAGGGTGGGAATGAAGTCAGACAGTGCAGGGCTTGAATCTGAGCTTGCCTCTTCCTGGCTGTATTACCTTCAGCACGTAACTTAACTCAGTTTTCACCCCTATGAAACAAGGATGGTAATACACTTTGTTGGGTTGTGGAAGGCTTAAACGGAAGGATATACAAGCACTTAGTACAGTGGCCAGCATAAGGTGAGCACTCCATAAAGGTAGTCATGCTGTCTGAAGACCTCCCAAACCCCGCATTTGGGGACTGCTGTTTTTTGTCCCATAACCAACGATGGACCAACTATGGACAGCTACCTAGTTCACATGGAGGAAACAGATCCCCAATTTGGGGGGAAAGAGTTGACCTCAGGCCAGAAAGAGCCTCAGGATGAAGCCTTTAAGGGAAGCTTTTCCCATCTGTGTTCTTTTTCCTACCTGAAATTCAGGCACGATGGCTGGAGATCAGGCAGCCACTTTGGGCCATGAGGAGACCTTTGGGATGGAAGCAAAAGTTAAGGGGAGCCTAGATCCCTGATTACAAGGCTTCTATGAAACAGTCCTATATTACCTGCCTCAGGATTCTTTCTCATAGGGGATAAGTATACCTCTAATATCTTTAAACTATTGTTACTTGGGTTTTCTGTTTCATATAAACAAACCTAGGTTTATCTGTCCCCATTTTGCAGACAACAAAAAACGAGGCTTAGTTAGAAGAAATCCACACAGCTAGCTGAGTTGGGATTTGAATCTAGGTCTCTGCAGTTCACCCACTATTGATTCTACCAAACTCGTTGCCACCCACAATGAGAGGGTCCCTCCCTCCCAGGCTACCTGCATATATGCGATTAGACAGGACCAGGGCTGTAGGGACAGATGGAGGGAAGGCGTAATCACAGAAGGCTTTACAGAGAAAGTGGTATTTGAGCTGAATCTTTAGGGAATAAGACAGTATCAAGAATTCAATGATTCAACCAGCCCTTCAGACAAAACAGGAAGTCCTAGATGCCAGCCTGTGGCCCTGGGCAAGGCACGTCCATCAGGCAAGGCTGCAGCATTAGGAGGTTTCAGGGACCCCCTAAGTCCATCTTCAGGCTCAGTGATTCATCTGGAGGCTTCACAGAACTCAGCACATAGTCTTACCTACAGTCATGATCTATTACAGCAAAAGGATACAAAGCAAAACCAGCTAAAGCATCTGGTGTGAGATCCGGAGGAAATGAGGCATGATCATCCAAGTGTCCTCTCTGAGTGGAGTCACACGGGCGGCACTAAGTCCTCCAGCAGCAAATTGTACAAATGCACATGAGGTTCTGTCAAGCAGGGAGGCTCAGAAGACTTTTCCCCAGGGCTGGTCGTGTAGGCCCCGTCTGCCCAGCATAGACTAAACTTCTAGACTCCCAGTAGGAAAGCAGTGTTCAGCATAACCCACATTGTTCGCACAGCTTAGGCTCAGTGAGCCACTCTTATTGGGGAACAGCAGGAACCCACCAGAAATCCAAGTTCCCAGAAGCCCAGCCGAAGGCCAAGCTGGCAAGCATGCTTTGTAAAGGATGGCAGTCCCGGACCTGCTGTGCCCATTTTTCCGCACAGGGAATGACACCTTCCTCCCCATTTCTGTTTTTGGGGTGACCCAGGAAATGCTCGTTTGTGCCTCAGACCCAGATTTGCAGAGAAAAACATCTAGTTGACTACACAGCTCACTTCGCCACGTTTTCTACAGAATCATGTTGAGTTATGCAAGAGCCAAGGGTGGGAAGAGGGCTGGTGTCAAGAGTCTGAGCTGGCCACTGACTCAAGTTCCAGCTCTGTCAAGCACATCCCAGAAATGAGCCTGAGTTTTCACTTTGATGAAATGAAGGCATTGGCTTTCACCTGTATCAGTGAGCTTGTGCTGCATAACAAACCACCCCCAAAGCAGACCTTTGTCATTTCTCACAGTATCATGGGACAGACATGTGGGCTGAGCTCCGCTTAGGGGTCCTTCTTCCAGTGTTGCTCAGGCTCACTCAGGAGGCTACAACCGGGTGGCGGTCAGGACAGCTGGACCTTTCTCCGCATGGCCTCTCATCCCCCAGCCGGCGAGGCCAGAGGCTCGTTCTCATGGCAGGTGGCCAGAGTCAAGGTGAGGAGAAACAGACTCTACCTCCAGATGGGAGGAGGGGCAGCATAGCCATGCAAAGGGGTGTGCACATGGGGAGGGGTGGAAATTGCAGCCAACTTTGGCATCCACTGCACTATCTCCCCTATGGTCCTTTTATTCGTTCGTTCATTCATTCATTCATTCATTCATTCATTCATTGCTTTTACCAGACACAGAGAAGTGGAGGTGACCTTGTCCTCATGGAGCCTCCAGACTGGTAGGGAAACAGATGAATAAATTGACTTGTGCTGCAAAGTTACATCGAGTAAGCATTTATTTTTATATATTATTTTTAGTTTATTTATTTTGAGAGAGAGAGAGAGCGCAAGTGGACGAGGCGCAGAGAGAGACTCCCAAGCAGGCTTCCACACTGTCAGCACAGAGCCTGATGCGGGGCTCGAACTCACAAACCGTGAGATCATGACCTGAGCCCAAATCAAGAGTGGGGTGCTTAACCGACTGAGCCACAAAGGCGCCCCTAGAAATTTCTTTACACGATACTTTTGTTCCACAAAGAAATTGGATCAATCTGCCAGAAAAGGCACAAGCAATGAAACTGGGAATTTTAACCAGAAAGAAAATTAAAAACAAAGAAGGAAAGAAGATAGTGATTATCGGGTACCCAACTATGTCCTAAGCATCGTACGTATACGCTCTCCTGTCATCTGTTCTATACCCGGAGGTGAGTAGGATTATTCGCCTTTTATAGGTAAGCAAGCCAAGGTTCATTGCAGATAAGCAGCTGGCCCATGCCCTCACTGTCCTGAGTGTCAGAGCTGAGAGTCCCAGGGCCGAGCCTGGTCCCCAAGTCCATATGCGACAATAGAACAGGTGTAAAGGAGTTTCACATTTGACTGTGAGTTTCCTAGTAGCCTGAGGGAAAAGACACGCTAAACATATTGCCAATTGGTCATTAGACAGGAAAAAGCCAGACTTGTCATTCAAGGGAAGCAAAGCCTTTCCTAGCACTGAATCCATTTTCCTTTTCCCAAGAGGGGGTTGAGGAAAGATAGCTTGTAGGGTAGACTCTTGGGGGCCCAGCTGTCCAAAGTGACATTGCTAAGCAAATGGCCCATTATCCCCCATTATCCGCTGTAGAAGACTGTGTCCACCAGCACCCATCATCCTCTGCGCGTGCACGCGTGTGGGTGTGTGTATGTGTGTGCGAGTATATGTGTGCACGCACAGGGGTGTATGTGTGTGCAGGCGTGTGTATGCGTGCACATATCTGCTTCCCACTGTCTCACTTTGCTTATCCCCCAACCCTTGCCTCTCTTTGTCTCTTTTGCCTCTAAATGTCCCTCGCTCACACCCAAATATGCAAAGAGTCCCCGCTCAACGAAACTCTGCTGCCGGTTTTAGGAAGTGCTGCTGCTTCCAGAGCGTGCACCCCAGATCGCAGCAGACAGCACTTCCTCCCCACGCAGGGCTGGGCGGGGCCACCCGGAAGGGGCCTGGCGCAGCCTCGGTGACACATCTCTGCCTGCTCAGCTCGAGCAGCCGCTGGGTCAGCGGGCAGCGGGAGCGCACGCCACCCTTCCCCCGGGCTTCAGGATGGACCTGTGCCACCCAGGTAAGCACCTGGGGCCAGCCTCCCTGGGCCTCAGTCTCCTCCTCTGTAAAATGGGGAAAGGACTCCCTGCCTCGCAGGAGCTGGAAGGCATCCTTCTGTAAACAGATGTAAGACAGGTGGGAAGCGCAGAAGCCTGCAACACATGCTTACGAGCTCAGGCGAAGTGCCAAGCTGGGCTCCTGGTGCCGGGAGAGCCGTGAACAAAGCAGACCCTGTGCCTGCCCTCCGGAGCTCATGCTCTAGACGGGAGACAGACATAAAGATATGAATGTAATACGTGAGGAGGTGACAGGCAGGATGAAGGACAGTCAAGTAGGGTAAGGGACATGGGAGGGGCAGTCGAGAAGCTCTCAGGAGGTGACACCATTTGGGCAGACCTGAAGGAAGGAGGGGGTGATCCCTGTTGGTTTCTGGGGGAGGAATATTCCAGAGGGGACGAAAGACCAGTGCAAGAGAGGCTGCTGGAGTTGAAGATGATGATGTTGACAGTGGCTGTCTGGGTGGCACAGGGGCCCTGAAGCTCCTGTTTGGCTTCTAAGGGTGCGGGGTGAGGGTGGCCTTTGGGGAGGCTGAGGACACCACCTAGAGTGCCTTTGAGGGGGAGCAGCAGAGAACCGTGGCTGAGCCCCTCCCCAGGGAGCAGAGCTGCGTGTCTGGGGGAAAGAGGAGAGACATGTGCATGGTCAGTACGGAAGAGAAAGGGATGGTGCTCATTTCTGCAAGGCACAGAGAAGAGGGACAAAGTCTCTGTGTCCTGCAGCCAGAATGTCCTGGCATTGGGGCACCTGGGTGGCTCTGTCGGTTAAGCGTCTGACTTCAGCTCAGATCATGATCTCACGGTTCATGGGTTTGAGCCACGCATCAGGCTCTGTGCTGACAGCTCAGAGCCTGGAACCTGCTTCGGATTCTGTGTCTTCCTCTCTCTCTGCCCCTCCTCTGCTCGCACTCTGTCTCTCTCTCTCTTAAAAACAAATAAACATTAAAAACAAGAAAAGAAAAGAATGTCCCAGCAGTGCCTGGAAACCCAGAAGACGAGGGCTTCCAGGAGCTGTCCAGGTCCCCAAGTTCAAATGACGTCAAGCCCGCTAGCAACAGAACCCTTTCTTCAAACAAAACCTAACACAGAGAGAGATCTGACCCCGCCCACCGGGCCTCCCCTGTCCCCACAGGCTCTGGGGAACACAGTTAGAGAACCACCTGTCCCTTTCAATGGCTTTTGGGCTCTGATGGCAGGCGTCTCCCAGACTGCACAGGCTCCGCGAATATGTCTCAGGTGGAGACTAGACGACCAGGCGGGGACCCAGCGCCAAGCGGCTCCCGGCTCAAGGTTGCTTGGCAGATACAAGGTGACAGGGGACTGTGAAGTCATCCCGCCACACGCTGCCTGTCTTCACACCATTATTGTTTTCTTCTTTTGGGTCGTCACAGGCTGAGGTCCTTAAGAACAGGGATGGCTGTCCCCAGAATGAGGACGCTAAGGCTCACAGAGGGACTGCAGGAGATGACTGACTTGCTGAAAGTCAGGTGGCCAGTAAATGACAGAGCAGGGACAAGAACCGGAGAGGACAGAGAGCCGCGGGCTAGCCGGGCTGCGGGGGACAGGAGGCCAGAACGTGGGCTGCTGCTTTGCTTTAGGCTGGTGGCCCCTGGGGGTGGGGGTGGGGGATGAACTGAGTGGAGTCAACGCAGGAGGTCTCTTGGGAAATTTGAGATCTCCATGGATTGGTTCATTCATTCACTCATTCACTCACGCTGTAAATGGGCAGGGCTGGGGACAGCACCCCCAGCCCTGGGGGCAGCTGCTGGTCCAGGACACGGGGGAGCGGGAGACAAAGCCTCAGATCCTGCAGGACAATGACCCAGAGCTGATGAGGAAGCGACTCCTTCCCTGTGGGAGGGGGAGATCTGGGAAAACTTCCTGGAGGAGTCAGAGGGAGGGACGGAAGGTCACCCCCTGTTACCCAGAGCGGGTCTTAACTGAAACTCCTCCACAGCCAAGTGACTGACTTCCCCTCTCTGAGCACAGACCCCTCCCGGCCTGAGCTAGGAAGGGGGGAATGAATGGGGATTTGGAGCCACCGCCCCCCCACCCCCCACCCCCAGGCTCAGGCCCCAGCTCTGCAGCAACCTGCCAGTGGTCATGATTGGCCTTTCCCTTTTGTGGGCTCAGTTTCCCCACCCGAACGGTAGACAGGATGGTGGCCAAGGGCCCCCAGGCAGCCTCCCTCCCCGCTCCAGTGTGTTCTGCCCAGAAGCAGGTCAGGCCTCCTCCCCCCAGGGCCTGCCGGGAAGACGAGAGAGGTCCAGGCACCAAAACCTCTATGTGACCAAAGACAGCACCTTTGGGCTGGTGCAGGGAGGCCGGGGCGCTGTTAAAAATAGAGGCAGCGTGGCTCTGGGGGTGGGGAGGAAGCCACACGACGCCCACAGAGCCTCGGGGGCTGGGCTGGGGCGAGGATCAGCTCCCCCAGACTCCCGCTCCTGCCCCAGGGCCCCCCCAGGGCCCCAGGAGAGCGCCCTCCTCCTGCCCTGGAAAGGGGAAGCAGAGCCAGCTGTCCTGGAAGGGGCCTGTGAGCAGAGAGATTTCTAAAAATATGATGGGAAAGAGGAAGGACAAAGGGGAAGTAGGGAGGAGCTGGGGAGATGGCCAGGGTGGGCCCCAGGGCACTCACAGCTGGCCTGGCACGGGGCAGAGGGCAGCCACAGCCAACCGCGTTGGGGGGCGGGTGGGGGGGCGTCAGCCGTCCAAAGGCAGCCTTTGTGAGGAGGGAAAATCACAGAGCCCAGGGAAGAGTCAACAGAGGTGCCGGTGGTGGCTGTTACCATTATCATTGTGTGTTTCATCGTCATTGTTACTAAGCCCCAGCTCCAGGGGGTGGCGCCTGCGTGGCTCAGTGGGTTGAGCACCTGACTTCAGTTCAGGTCGTGAGTTTGAGCCCTGCCTTGGGCTCTCGGCTGTCGGGACAGAGCCCGCTTCGGATCCTCTGTCCCCCTCTCACGCCTGCCTTCTCTCTCTCTCTCTCTCTCAAAAATAAACACACATTAAAAGAAAATTTTTTTAATTAAATCCAACTCCCATGAGCTGCTTCGGTGCTTGAAACCCCAGCATCACCAGGCTCCGAATCAGAAGCGGCCACTCTGACACTGGTGTCCTTGCCGCCCTCCCTGAGCCTCAGTGTCCTCAGCTCTGAAATGGGGAGAAATTCCCACTTGGAAACAGACAGAAGAAGGGTTGGAAGGCCGCGTGCCTCATGTGATGGTTACAGGGTCAGGATCCGGCCAGAAGGGGCCAGGGGACTCGGGGGGTCCAGGAATGTGCCTGCCAAGCCACGAAAGAAGCTCTATGAAGAAAAAATGCAAATAAACCCCTCCCCGTGCCATCCCACTGTCCTGAGAAAACTGGCCGCCCACACCTGTGCCTCAGTTTCCCCGGCTCTAGGAAGTTGGCTTTGTTTTCTCTCTCCCACCCCTCCCTGCCACCAAAAAAAAAAAAAAAAAAAAAAAAGAGGAAAGAGGAACAGACTGCAGGCTTCATTCTCCATCTGGCCTTCATTCTCAACCATCAGCCACGGTCAGCACTTCCGTGTGTGAGAACAACCAGGGCTAGTGACTGGGGGGTTTTGATGATTTGCATGAAACTATCCGGCATCAGATGGTCAACAGGGGTGTGGCCTCGGAGTCCTAGGTGGGCCTGGGTGTGACTCCCAGCTCCAGCGCCTTCTGGCTGTGGCACCCCAGACAGGTCACTTGACTTCTCTGAGCCCCGGGTGCCTCCTCTGTAGAATGAGATCAGACACGCCTTCCTCCAGATCGGTCTTCAGGGGACACGAAGGGCCCGGACCACACAAGGCGTGGCACAAAGTAGGTGCTCACGCAGCATGCCGCCCCTTACCAGACCGCGTGGCTTGTTGTCTGAGCAAGGTCTCAGAGCTGTCCACACAGCTCCCAGGGCTGCCCAGGGGGACATGAGGGGGAGGCCCAGACACAGAACAGGAGGGCACCTGAGAGGGCAGAGGACGAGGGGGAGTGACAAGGCAGAGGGAAAGGCATTCCAGATGTGGGGAACAGCATGTGCGTGTGTGGAGAGGGCGCCCATGGGAGCAAGTGGAGGGCGTCCAGGAAGCCTCAACCCCGGGGGGCGGGGAGGAGCGGCTCAATGTCAGATGAAGATGGGGTCCTGTGTGCCCAACCGGAAGGCCCGGGAACATTCGGGGTCTCATCCCCAGGACAATGGGAGGCCGTGGGAGACGGGATTGGAGGTGCCAAGTGGCGTTAGGGAGACACGGGGACACCCTGCAGTCATCCAGGGACAAACACGCGGTCTGGGTGGGAGTGGGGCCGTGGAAACAGGAGATGGACGGGGCGTGGCGCAAGGGCGACACGAGTGTGAGAGAGGGGTGCGTGTCAACAGGCCTCCCGGGGCTCCGGCCGCCTCGGAGAGCTGCGAGATCGACTGACATAATTTATACAGAGCTGCGGGCATGAAGTGGATGTTTTTGAGCCGAAAGTCAATGGGACTTTTCCTTTGCCACCTCCCACCTCCTCCCTGGAGATGAGGCTCTCTGGGCCTGCAGAGCCCAGCGTCACAGGGACAGAAAGCAAAACTCCCAACAGGGCCACCAGAGGAAGGTGTGTGGAGCCACTCCTGATCCTTGTTGCTGGGTCCGCGCCCGTGACTCGCTGCGGACAGAACAGCATCAAATGGCCGCAGGGTTAGGTTGTATACTGCATCCTGGAGGTGGGTGCCCCACCACGCAGGACATCAGCTCCAAGCTGGCGCCTTGCTCCATCAGGCTGGGAGCTTCTGGGGGGGGTGTGTGACATTGTCCCAGAGGACCAGGGGACCCCCTGGGCGTATGCTCCTCCCACGCCTGCTCCACTGTGAAGAGGGTCCCTTGGTCCGGGGAGATATTGTGCGGTACTTGGAGTCGGCAGATCAAACACCCTGACGGCCCCTGGACAGTGGTGTGGCTGAGGCTCTGGGGGAAGGAAGGGCCACTGCTTGCCCAGACCACATGTGGCTTCGCTGGCCTTTAAGAGTAGAAGGGATCTTGTGGAAGCAAATTGCCCCCAGGTTGCTGATTGGTCTTCTAGAGAAATAGCGGGTGTCTATGGCTGACTGCAGTGGCTGTAGCTCCGGAAGCCTGGGCGAGCGACTTGTCACGTAGCCTCCACCCAGGGCCACGTGGCTACTGCATTCATGTGCAACCGTACCAGCCCTGGGCTGCCAGTGGGAGACTGGCTGATGTCACCAGCCGACTCATTCTGCCTGGTGGTGCAGGCTCTTGCCGGTGGTGGATGGTTGCTGGGGACCATTTGTGTGCTTCCCAAACGTCTTCATCCTCCATCCCTACTCCTAGGGGACCACCCACTTGCCTCTTTCCCCAGACCTCTCTCTTCCCGATCTTCCAATCTTCCTTCCTTTCCGGCCTCTGAGAAGTCAACCCATCCTCTCCCGTTCATGGTTACCCTTCAGACATAAAACTGCCAGCTATTTGAGAGCAAGGATGGGTTTCTTCCAGAATAGTGTAGAACTGCAACCCGGGACAAGCAAGCTATGGCAAAGCCCGAGCCAAGTCCAGGGAGCAAGTCAAGGAGTCTCTGATAGAGAGGAAAGGAGAGTGGGAAAGGCTGTCCATTGGAGTCAACTGGGCGCCAGAGGTGTAGTGGCTTTTGACGGTCTGGGTTGTGACATTCTCATTGGCTGCGCTGTTGCTGGGAGAGGAGGAAAGCTTCCTTCCTGCTGCAGGGGGAGTCAAGTAGTAGCTAAAACCTTTGCCGCTTGCAGGGGTGTCTCAGTTGACAAGGAGAGGTAGGGGGTGAGAGCTCCCCCTGCTGGCCTGCTACTCCATTCTAAAGGAGTACATTTCGTGAACATTCACACCATAAATGCACGTGTGTTCTTACTTCATGCCATTGTTCTGCACATGAAATGGATGACCAGGCACTCTGCCCAGAGTTCTGCCCCTCAGGAGGATTTCTCACCCCTGTCTCCCCAGGACGCCTTTGAGCAGGGTTCAGCAGCTATCTAGTGTGTATGTGACCCCAAACACTAAGCGTCCCATTCTGGAACCGGGTTCAGGTGTTTTGCTCCTTTGCCAGAAAGACCACAGAGACCTGCCCATGCCGACGTAGTGTGAGCCGAGGGACCTGGTGCCACAGCAGTGGATGACATGGGGGTCTAGGTGATCTGTTCATGGGACTTACTGGAGCCTTCTGGTTTTATGCACACTTGTTCCTCCTAAGTGGACCACCTGTGAAGGACTGCTGTTGTGCTTGCTTGACTTTATGACTTGGTGGGTCACACAGACCCATCTCAACTGTTTGACCAAGGGAATCATTATCATATACGGTTGTCACAGCATTTCAGGACCCTTCTTTGTGGGCACCCAGCTTTTCTTTCAGTCAACGGAGTCTGGGTGTGAATACTGGCTCAAGTCCAGAAACTGGGCAAAAGGTCTTGGCCTTTTATGTAGTGGCTGACCTTTGGGAGGGCCATATCCTTGGGCGAGGCAGCTCCGTTTTGCTGAGTCAAGTTCCTGGGGAAGAAACTCAACTGTGACGTCAGCAGGCGACCCCCAACCCTACCCCCCACCGCTGAGAGAAATGGTGCCTTGATCCTCAAGGGGAGAGCTGAGGGTACAACATAGCGTCCCTTATACATGTGTTGGACACTTACCACATATCGAATAGTTGCTTGATGCCTCACCATCTCAACACCCAGTTTCCATCTCAAATCCAAGATGGCAGCTCCGTCAATGGGAGGGAATGGTAGGGAGGGGGAGCTCTTAAAATTCTCTCTGCTTTCATTTGGGAGAGATAATGTCTGTCCTTGCAAAAACCTTAAAAAAAAAAAAATGACCAGCTATCCCTAAAGCTAGGACTTAAAGAGTTGGAGAAGATACAGACGGGCAGGCAGGAGCAGACATCCGAAGGCACAGGAGCAGCATAGGCAAAAGTGGGGAAGTAAGACAGAGACAGTGTGGGGACAGCGAGGAGCCCGCTAGCTAGACTGTCAGGCTCTTACTGAGAGGAGTGGAGAACAAGGCTGGCTAGGGAGGCCGGGACTGTGGAGGCCCCAGGACGAGGATGAGAACTTTTCCCTCTAAGTAGTAGAGAGTCCGTAGAGGTTTTGACCACACGAGTGTCGTGGATGGAACAGGAAGGGCTGGAGGTGGCCCAGCTGACCCCAATGTGGGAATGGTCACAGCACCTTGCACAGAATGCCAGCACACATGTGTCCCCTTTCATTCATTTCCGGGTGAGGAGAAAAGAGCCCAGGCTTTGAAGCCAGCCCAGTCAGAACCCCACTCGCGCTGAAGAGCTTGTCCTTATGAAGTCCCGCCCAGGTCCCCTCATCTCTCTGAGCCTCGGTGTCTAGAGCAGGACATGCAAACTGTCCCCCCCAAGCCAGTCTCCCCACCTTACCTAGTAGGAGTAGTATCCGGACCACCAGCCTAAAGTCTCACTCCTGGGGCTCCCTTGCAGCTAGGTGTGGTCACGTGACTATGTCTGACCAATGGCATAGGAGGCAAAACAATATACCATTCTCTGGTTGTGCAAATAAATACGCAGCTAAGTGAGCTGACCCCACGATCTGGGGAAAGCGCAAATGCAAGTTCCAAGGAAGGGGATGAAGGCCATCAGCAAGTGTTTTGAGTACCTGCTATGTGTCAGCACTTTCTAGAAGCAGAGGATGCGGTGGTGAGCATAGTTATTGAAGTGCCTGCTGTCCCGGTGCTGAGAGTCTAATGAATAGACCTGGGGTCTGTGTCCAGGGTGTACAAAGCTGGGCGGGAAGGGACTGCTTTAGAAGGGTAGTCAGGGAGGAGGTAACATCTAAGCCAAGGCCTGAGTGAAGAGGGAAGACGGCCCTGGGGAAGCAAGGGCTAGCCCAAGGGGCCGGAGCGATGGAGGGGAGGGCGGCGAGCAAGGCAGTGACCCCTGTCTTCTCTCTCCAGACCCAGCGGAGCTGAGCAGCGGGGAGACAGACGAGCTGCAGCGGATCAAATGGCACCGGAAGCAGCTTCTGGAAGATATCCAGGTGTGTGCACACTCACACGCTCACACACACACAGGTCCACGCCCGTGTCCTTTCCAACACACCCTTCAGCCACACCCACCGGCAAGCGAGCCCGCGTACGCACTCACGCACTCTCGCACTCGCTCCTGACCCCGGCCTGGTCAGAGAGCAGGGCCAGCCCAACCCCGGCCTCAGCCCCGGGCCCCGGGAGTGGGGAGGACGGGATTCCAGGGGGTTCCCTACTGCCAGGGCCCAGAGAGAACTAGGAGGGTGAGAGAGAGAAGAGGGGGGCCGATCGATTAAGCAACTCCTGTGTGCCAAGCCCCGCCTGGCGCCCTGTACGCTGATGACGTAGCAGGTTCTATTCCCACTCGTGTGGCCCCAGTCTCCTCTCATCTCCACACTGGGCCTCAGCTTCAGCCCCTCAAAAGTGCAAGTCGTTTCATCAAGATAACACCAGCGTGTGCCTGGCACTTGCCAATAACAGTCATCCTTCTAAGGCAGGTCCTGGTTCTGTGCCTGGAGTGAGCTGAGCTCAGTCTTGCCCCCGGGCCTTTGCACGCACGGTTCCCATGGCCTGGAACCCTCCCAAGCTCTCCTCATGGTGCCTCCTTCTCACTAGTTCATTCTTGGTTCAAATCCTTCCTTCTAGAGAGACGGCCCTGACCCCTCTGGCTGTGGCTGCTGGGGCCCCGCCCCGTGGCAACACACGTATACCTAAGAAAGTAGAAGATACAAAATCATTCACTCAACAAGTATTTTATGGAGACCAACTATGTGCCTTGCTCTTCCTGTACCATTACATTACATCACCTCATTACGTGAATGATCAGAGATCATTCTCTTTTTATTATAGCTGAATACCACATTCCATGGGTTTCAGGTGTACCCCATGGTGACTGGGCAAGTCTCTCCCTCACGCTGTGCCCACTACAGGGTAGCTACTCGGGTCGTTTCATTTGCCCATGGCCAACATGATCCCAGTCACACTGGACTGTGAGCTCCGTGGAAGCATGGGTTGGTCTTGCCCAACACCACACCCCCACCTCAACAGTCAACGCATAGTAGGTGCTCAATGAATATTGGCAAGTGAACTGCCATTTTATTTGTGGGGAAGCCATTCGGTGACTCGGCCAAGGGCATTTGGACAGAGGCTGCCTGGGCTCAGGTGCTGCCCCTGGGGGTCCCAGACAAGCCCAGGGACCACTCTCATCCCTCAGATTCCAGGGGAAGGTGAGGGGGGGCTAGGGTGCATTTTAGGGGCTGCCGCTCCCCTGTCTGCCCCGTGGTTGTGGCTGGCCTAATTAGGGGGTCCTCTGCCCCTGGGCACCCCCTGCAGGGTCAAGACAAAAAAGACTTGAAGGGAGCAGGGAGGGCACAGACTTGGAACCTGGCGCTGGGCACTCCCCTCTTCTGTGCACCTCAGCGCCCTCTTCTGTAAATTTCACCAGGATTGCAAGGTCCCCGAGAAGAGAGCCTGTGCCATCTGGTACCCCAGTGTCCCTTAATACCGGGCACATAGTAGGCCCTGAGGGGAGAGTGAGTGACAGAGTGAATGGATGGGGGAGGGAAGCCAGAGAGGAGCTGGGGCCTCGTCCTCAGGTGGGAATCCGTTCCTCGTGGCTAGAGAGGCAGGAGAGAGCCACAGAAGGAGCTGGGGAGGGGCAGGCTCCAAGCTATGCTTCCGGAAGCTGGCAGCTGGGTGTAGGAGGGCCTGTCTGATGGGCTTGGCTAGAGGGCAGGAGACTTCACAGCTGCAGAGGGGGGATGGGAAGGCCGGAAGTCAAGTGGCGCAAAGGGTAGGGCCTTGAGGGCCATGTCCCCCAAGACAGGAGCCCATGGGGAATTGGGCATCAACAGGCAATAGGCTGGCTTGGGATTTGGAGGCTAAGAGGCACGTGGAAAATGGAAGGGGGTGCCTGGGAGACGCGGTGGGTCAAGCGTCTGACTCTTGATCTCAGCTCGGGTCATGATCTTGCGGTTTGTGAGTTCTAGCCCTGCATCAGGGTCTGCGCTGATGGTGCGGAGCCTGCTTGGGATTCTGGCTCTCCTTCTCTCTTCCCCTCCCCCACCCGCGCTCTCTAAATAAATAAACAGACAAACATTAAAAATTTAAAAAGAGAAAGAGAAGCATCGAGGACAGGGACCTGTCAAGGGTAGGGTAGCAGTGGTCTGGGGTCACGCCCAGGGGTGAGGGTAGTGAGGGTCGGGAAAGCCTTTCCGCCCCAGCTTCTGTCCCTGACTGTCCCTCCCTGTCCCTCCCTGTCGCACCCCCTGCCGCCCCACAGAAGCTGAAGGATGAGATCGCAGATGTGTTTGCCCAGATTGATTGCTTCGAGACTGCAGAGGAGAGGTGAGGGGCCAGGCCAGGGGACCCTGGGAAGCATGTCACGTACTGGGAATGAGCGTGAGGGAGCCCAGGGGTCATACCCGGGCCTGGGGCCCTGGCGAAATCCGGGCTCAGCCTGGAAGAAGAGGCAGCAGGGAGGGCCTGAGACTCCATCTCGTGGTCTGGGCTGGTCCTTCCTTCTAACAGCCCCCCTCTCTGGGGAGACACTCCCCATCCCCACCCCCTCCACCGGAAGTTTCTTCCAACCCACGCTGACCCAAGCCCTTGATCGGTCGCTGGCCAGGAGCATCATGGGAACGGCTAGGAAAAGGAGAGCTCAGTTCTGTGACCTGGGGCTCATCCCCGCCCCTCCCTGGGCCTCAGTTTCCCCACTTGTGGGGAATAAGAAGGTTGGGCGCTAAATAATCCCCTGAGGCCCCAGGCACTGACGTCTACATATTCGTCTCAGGAAATCGCCCCCCTGGCCCTGCCTCCCCTTGATCTCTGATCACCTTTCTAGCCCCACGCACAAACGCACGTAGGCACGCACGTGCATGCACGCGGCTGCCCTGCATCTCCGGGTCCCCTGTTCCAGCCCCACCACCAACATAACATTCCCAGAGCACCTGCCACCAAGCTGTTTGAAGCTCTTTAACCTCTCAGCCATGCTGGGAAGCAGGTGAAGGTGCCATCCCCATCTTCCAGATGGGGAAACTGAGGCCCAGGGAGATGAAGTGATTCACCTTCTGCGGCTCAGCTGGCAGAGGGGCAGAGCGGGATTCACACCAGGGGTCGGGCTCCAAAGACTGTGCCCCCACCCCCACCCTCCCTGTTATCCTGCACCCATGTCGAGCACAGGGCCCCTCTATGTGCTGGGCCCATGGGAACAGCCTGATTAGGTAGCTCTGGGAGGGGCCTGGACCCTGTATTTCTCATGTTCTCCTAGGCGATCCCAATGCAGGGTGTGAGGACCACACTTCGAGGCCCTTTGAGGCCCTTGGGGAATATTGGCCGTAGCTGAGGAAAGCATCTTTGGGGATCGGGGATGGGGGGGCAGGCCCTGGGGTCCTGGGGTGGCCCAGGCTGACATCGTCTCGTCTGCAGCCGGATGGCCCAGAAAGAGAAGGAGCTATGCATTGGGCGTAAGAAGTTCAACATGGACCCCATGAAGGTAGGCAGTTGTGGGGGGCTCAGGTGGTCGTGGGGTCGGGGGCGCTGTTGTTTCCCCCAACTGACGATCGCCCACCTTCGAGGTGAGAAAGCCGAGGCCCAGCAGAGCTCAGCACCTTGTCCAGTGTCCCACAGCCTGCCACGGCTCAAGTGCTCTGTCGCCCCGTGGCACAGCATGAGGTAGGAGCCAGGAGGGTGTGGCCACGTTTTATGAGGTCCACGGATGTGGACTCTGCTGGCTGAGTTTCTGCTTCCTCCTTTGTAAGTAGGTCTCTGGACAGTGGGGCCCCTTAGATTCTGGGGTTCAGTCTCCAGAAGCATCTTCCAGCCTCTCTGCTGGGGGGCAGCCAGTCTGGGGGCGCTGGCATGGAGTGCGGGGGCTCAAGGCTGCCACCGCTCTTGTCCCTCCCCCCACCCCCACCCTGCCCCTCCCTCCGCTGTCCTCAGAGCAACCCCAGCCCCACCTCTCACCCAGCTAGGTGACAGTCAGCTCCCTTCCTGCCTGAACAAAGACGAGGAGGAAGCCACAGGCTGACACATGGAGGGAGGGTCAGGGCCCTCAAGGGGTCCCTGGAAATTTACTGCTCTGGCTGTGAGAAGGTTGTCTCTTCCCCATCAGCAGTGACACAGGCTCACAGTATCACGCACCCATTTACCTTCCATAGCCGCGGGAATCGGACCCCTGCCCCAACCACACAGAACACACACACACACACACACACACACACTAGCTCATACTCACACCAGAGCACCTGGGATGGGCCACTGAGGGCCCCCCAGGACCCTCTGCCTGTTATGAGAGCCCCCCACAACCCACACCCCATCGTTCCCCCAAGAGGGACAGGGACACACAGGAGCCCTCACAGAAAACCAGAGACCGACCTTTCAAATTCCCAAAATTCAAAGGACAAGATTCTGAACGGCTGGGTCGTGAGGCGTGTGTGATATTGTCAAAACCAGAAAAGCAGGTTTCGCATTGAAAGGGAAGGAAGCTCTGTCTCCCTCTGAATGGTGGGACACGGCAATTTCCTCTCCTTTCGATTTAGCTGGGTTTTTTCTAATGTTTTATACAATGGACATAGATTACTTGTGCGGAAAAGAAAATGAAACCCTATTTTTAAATATATGAATATTAAGGGGACAAAAGAAATGGCTGAATCATAGAATCTTAAAATTATAAATTCATGGAATCATTGAACCATATAATTAGTGTCAGACCAAAGGGGACCCAGGGAGTGCATGGCACGAACCTGGCCCGCTGCAGGATGCTATCTCTCTTTGCATGCCGCCGTTGATGGGGACCTCACCACCTTCCAATGGCAGCTTCTGTTAAGGAGGGAACAGTCTGTGTCGATGGCAGAATGCCAGGCCCCAGTGCCCCACAGCCTGTCCCACGGTCTGGCCACGGGGACCCCTCTCTTCCTCCACTCAGGCCAGCTGCTGGGGGGTGGGGTGCTGATCATGGGCTCCGTGTACCACCTCCAGGGTATCCAGTATCTCACTGAGCACAAACTGCTGAACCCCGACGTCCAGGACATCGCCCAGTTTCTGTACAAGGGCGACGGCCTCAACAAGACAGCCATCGGCACGTACTTGGGGGAGAGGTAAGGTGGCGCGTGGCCTTAGGAACATAGGGAATGAGTGTGTGCACAGGTGTGTGTGTGTGCGTGTGCAGGTAAGTGAATGAGCGAATTATGTTAGGGAAGTCATAACTCCTGGAGTGTCAGAGGGCTAACGGATCACTCCCCTCCACCTTCTGAACCAAAGTCTGCCTGCGTGCCTTCCTCCATTCAGTTATTTGTTCAACAAATAGATATTTTTTTGTATCAGCTATGCATCAGGCAGTGTCAAATCCCTGGATTTATGCTAGTGACCAAGACAAAACAAAACTTCTGCCCTCGGGGAGGTACATTCTAGTGAGAAAGACAGATCCCCAAATATGCAAAATATGTTAGAAAGTGTCAAGTTCTTTGGAATGCAAATAAGGCAGGGAAGGGCAATGAGAAACACTGAGAAGCGAAGGTCAAGGGCTGTGACTTTATTTTTATTTATTTATTTATTTTTTGCCTCCTTGGATCACAAACTTTATCTTTTTTATTTTATCTTTTTGCAAATAGTTTATTGTCAAGTTGGTTTCCATATAACACCAAGTGCTCATCCCCACAAGTGCCCTCCTCCATGCCCATCTCCCCTCCCCCCATCCATCAGTCCTCAGTTTGTTCTCAACATTCAAGAGTCTCTCATGGTTTGCCTCCCTCCCCCTCCCCCACCATTTCCCCCCTTCTTCTCCCCCATGGTCCTCTGTTAAGTTCCTCCTAATCCTCCTATACGTGCAAACATATGGTAGCTGTCCTTCTCTGCCTGACTTATTTCGCTCAGCATAACACCCTCAAGGTCCATCCATGTTGCTACACGTGGCCAGATTTCATTCTTTCTCATTGCCGTGGAGTATTCCATGGTATAGATAAACCACATCTTCTTGATCCATTCGTCCATTGATGGACACTCAGGCTCTTTCCATGTTTTGGCTATTGTGGAGAGTGCTGCTATGAACATTGGGGTACCTGTGCTCCTATGCCTCAGCATTTCTGTATCCCTTGGGTAAATCCCTAGCAGAGCTATTGCTGGGTCCTAGGGGAGTTCTATTGTTAGTTTCCTGAGGAACCTCCACACTGTTTTCCAGAGGGGCTGCACCAGTTTACATTCCCACCAACAGTGTAGGAGGGTGCAAGGGCTGTGATTTTAAATACTGTGAATACGAAGGGTCTCATAGAGAAAGTGATCTTTGACACTTAAAGGTGAGCAGTGAAAGACATCTGGGGGAAGAGCATTCCAGACAAAGGGGACAGCCTATGCAAAGGCCCTGGGGCAGAAGCATGCTCAAGGAATGGCAGCCTGGTGAGATGAGGAGAGACCAAGGGAGGGAAGGCGTAGTAGGTGAGGAGGTGGGGTTCCACGGGAGGCTCTGGGCAGAGGAGGGGGGAGAAAGGACCCCTCTGGCTGTTGGGAGGGGCAAGTGGGCTTTAAGGGACCAGGGAAGAGCTGGACCAGCAGCCCTTTGGCTCCCGGGTGGACATGTTCCTTCTTCTGAGAGGGCAGGGGATGCAAGAAAGGCAGAACTTCCTGATTTGCGCTGGGAAGAAGGAAGTGACAGGCGTAGGCATGGTTCTCTTCATTTTACAGCCAAGGACCCTGGGGCTCCGGGAGTCCAGTGGCCAGAGTAGGGTCATCGAGGCAGAAGTGACAGAGGAAGGATTTGACGCAGGGCAGGCTGCTCCAAAGCCAGAGCGCCCCCTCCCCCCCCCTCGGGTGAGAGCCATGCTGGTGATCCGTGGGGGACTGGGAGTGCTCCCACGTGAGGACATGCGTGTGCCCATTCGGGGTGGAGGGACGTGCGCTCAGACAGATGTGAGCACACCAGACGGTGGGTGGATGCGGAAGGACGACTTGGCTCCGCTCCTCCCCCGCCCCCCCAAGCCCCGCCCCGCCCCCCTCGAGCAGTCAGGTGCCAGCAAGTTCCCAAGTGCCTGTGCCCCCCCTTCCCGCTCTCTCCAGGGATCCCTTCAACCTGCAGGTCCTCCAGGCCTTCGTGGACTGCCATGAATTTGCCAACCTCAACCTCGTGCAGGCCCTCAGGTGAGCGGTCCGGAGGGCGGGGACCCCGGCTCGGGGGGTGGCAGGGCTTGGGGGGGCGGCACCCCTGAAACACAGCATCGGGAGCGAAGACGGGAGCGTAAGCAGCAGAGATGAATTACTGACAGTACCCGCCGCCGGGAACAGCGTCTGGCTTGTCACAGCCCCTGATCCTGGTGTGGCTACAGGACGTGCTTGTAGTGTGGGAAAGTCACACACACACACACACACACACACACACACACACACTCAAAACTCCCTGTGCCTCAGTTTCTTCATCTGTAAATGGGAACAATAACCGTCCCCAAAGTCATAAGGTTGTGACGAGTAAAGGAGGAAATGCTTCGAATTGGCTCAGCGAGTCTAGCTGCTTAGGGGGTAATGCTTGGAACCTCAGCTCCCGAAGAGGGTATTTGATCTGGGCTTTGAAGGATGATCAGGAGTTTGCCAGGCAGGGAAGGAAGAAGCCGCCAGGCTCCGAGCACTGTGGCCTTCCCTGCGGTTCCGCTGTTCTTTAAGGGAGTGGGACTGGGGGCGTGGGAGTCTCCAATATTCATCCATTTGTTCATTCATTCATTCTTTCACTCCTTCCTGGGCAGTCCTGGGGATCCCCCCACCCTGGGGCCTGTGTGAGACCCAGCAGGCGATGTGGGGGGAATGGCCCCCTGAGAACGGGAAGCCCAGCCAGGGGAAGGCGCTTGCAGATGGGTCCCCAGCCAGATCCAGGGCAGACAGAGGCCCTCCTGGGCTGAGGCGGAGGGGCCACAAATGGTTCTGGGCCCCACCCGGGCAGAGGGAGCGCCCCCCACAGCTCTGATACTTGGAAAGAAAAGGCACCCCCCCCCATGACCCTACTTGACCGGGGCAGACAGCTCCCCTTGACAGGGTAAAGACTCTGAGGCTTAGAGAGACAGAGCAGCTTATCTGAGGTCCCCCACACACCGCGCCCCGAGATTCCCACCCACCCCATGGCCCACAGCCCCATTCCTCCCCCAGACAGTTCCTGTGGAGCTTCCGGCTGCCGGGCGAGGCCCAGAAGATCGACCGCATGATGGAGACTTTTGCCACCCGATACTGTCTCTGCAACCCGGGCGTCTTCCAGTCCACAGGTGCCACTGTGGGATGGGACCTAGGGCTCCAGGCCCCCTTGGGAGCCACGGGCACAAATCCTCCTTCCCGGGCGCCATGGGCACCCCACCCCTTCCGGTTTCCCCCAAGCACCCAGACCCCGGGAGCCCACCTTTCTTCACGAGCCTTCAATGAGTGCCCACTCTGCCAAGCTCTCTGCTGCTGGGGGCTTGTCAGGGCCTGGTCCTTGGGAGAGGAGGCAGGAAGTCGTGGCACAGACCTCCCCCCCCCCCCCCCCCCCCAGTCTGGTGACAGGAAGTCAGTGTATCCAAGATGGCTTCCCAGAGGCAGCGGCTTTAAAGGATGCATGGCAGTTCTGCAGGAGGTCAGGGGGAGAAAGGGCCTCTTGGGGCAGGAGTTTCATCTGAGGCAAGACCAGAAGCATGAAACACGCTGTGCGGGATGTAGGGAGCACTAGGGAGCACGGGTGTAGAGCAAGATCTCAGCACAGATGTGCACGCCATACCACCGCCACCCTTCCCCCGCAGGATGGGCAAGAAAGCATGAGAGCAGGCCTGTCCCGCCTCCTTCTCTGCACCTGAACTTGCCAGAACACCAATAGCGAATTCCATTAATTGAGGACTACCCGCACAAAGTCATCTGATCCTTGTATCCGCTGCCCGAGGCCAGCAACCTCCCCTTCTCTGCATAGAACACAGACTCCGAGAAGCCATGTGGCTTGTCCACGCCGTGTGCCCGTGGTCAGGTCCTACAGCACACTTGCCTTACCTCGTAGCCAACACAACTTGGGGACGTGCTGGTTTACACACGCAGCACTCCGCGGGCACACGATAAAGACTTGCAGAAAGGAAAGAATGTTAAAGCGCCCCATCTGAACCGCAGTCCAAGTACCTCATTGGATGACCATGGGCACGTAACTTAACTCCCTCGAGCCTCAGTCTCCATCTCTGGAAAATGGGGTTAGAAACAATGCTCGCCTCGCAGGGCTGTTAGAGGGATGCAGAGCTTAGCACCGGGCAAGCACCAGAACCTGCTAGGTGGTTCCATGAGGTGCCACTGTTTTTGGAGGTAGAATCGTTGATGTTCTAGAACATGAAGATACTTCAGGTTAGACCTCCTCCTGTCACCAGTGCGGGGGGGGGGGTGCTGAAGCTCAAGGAGGTCAGCTACCTTCCCAAGTCCCACCCAAGAGAGTTGGTTGCACAGCTGGACTCTGGACCCGGGACTAAAAACCCCCAGGGAGCCGCCCTCCCTCATGCCCCACCCAGGCTCGCCCCCAAGCCCAGGAAAGTCTGAACAAGGGAACAGGAGCTCAGGGGACCCCAGGAGCCCGCAAGGCCCACAAGATTGTGGCGCAGAACGTGACTAAGCCTTGAACAGTGTGGCCAACAGTAGGAGTTCAGGAGGCAGAGAACAGAGTGGGCAGGCAGCTGAAAGTAGAAGATTGAAATTCGAAGCAAAGGGAAAGGGAAAGGGAAAGGCAGGCCCGGCAGGGGGGCCCTGCTGGAGCAGAAGTGCAGAGGTGGGAAGGGAAGGGCATAGGGGGGTGCGGGGGGAGCCTCAGGAGCTGGCAGCTGAAGTTTGTTTGGAGCAGGCAGGCCAGGAAGAGTAGAGAGGAGGCAAGGCCTCGAATGCCAAGCCAGGACAGCGCAGACCTTTGGGGACTGAGATGGCCGATGACGGGCCCCTTGAAGGGGTCAGGGGCAGAGGAGGGGAGAGTGGCCAGGGCCAGGACTCTGACCGCTGTCCCATCTCGCAGACACCTGCTACGTCCTGTCCTTCTCCATCATCATGCTCAACACCAGCCTCCACAACCCCAATGTCCGGGACAGGCCACCCTTTGAACGTTTTGTGTCTATGAACCGCGGCATCAATGGCGGCGGGGACCTGCCTGAGGAGCAGCTACGGGTAAGAGGGGCACTGCCCGACCTATCCAGTCCCCAGGCCACTGCAGGGGGAAGCTGTGCCGGGATGGGCCCCCCAGCCTGGTGACTGTCGGGAGATAGGCATTCCTGAGTGGCCCCCTTCTTAAGGGGGAGGTCTGATATGGACCACCCAGGAGGTCCTCCCAGACTTCATCGTCTGGGGGATTCTGGGCACCCATCATTCATACCTTCTAGAAAGGTGCCTCATGCAACTCAGACGTAGTGCTTGGAATCCCGGATTCTGAGACTCTCGGCCTATCAGAGAGGAAAATCCTCAGCCTCTGCTAAAACCCTTCCCTCCTTCAGAGAGGAGGAAACTGAGGTCTTCCGCAAGGCGATCTGAGAGCCGAGCAGAACCCAGGCCTCCTGTCTCTTCATCAGACGGTCCCCCGACCCTTGCCACAAGGCACCAGGCCCTGCGCCCGGCATGGGGCCCCCACGGATGAATCAACCACAGGCCCTGCCCAGGCCTGGTTCAGGGTCTGGTGGGAAGATGATACATATGTGGATTGTAGCCCTGTGTGGTCCATGCTGTCCTAACTATGAGAACACAGAGGACACCGCTACCACTCTCCTGGGGGCAGGGTGAGGGTGCCCTTGGGGGACTTCACAGAGGAGAGGACTTTTGAACTGGGCGTTGACGGTTGAATAGGAGTTTTCGCAGAGGGAAGCAGACGAAGGACATTCCATGAAGGGGAAGCAGCCAGGCCCCAAGGCCGGCCTAGCTGGGAAAGGCAGAAATGCCCAGAGTGGCTGGGTGGGGTGTGGATTTGTACGGACAGGGGCAGGTGGCAAGCTGAGGCCAGAGCACCCAAGGCTTTGAATGACAGCCTCGGGAGTCTGCCCATTTGCTCTGATTCACACGGAGTGAGGAACGGCTTTGTAAACACAGGAGTGAGATTCAGAGCCCGGTGCAGCAAAAATGAATCGGCAGTTCATTTCCAGGACTAAAGATGCCCCAGTCACCTCCCTGTGAGAGCCTGGCAGGAGGGGAGGAAAGGGCGTGAACCCCACCCTCCCAGCTTAGCACCTTGCGAACCACCAGCCGCAGAAGCCTGGAGGGAACCCTGGGTCTGGAAGGACCCTGGTGCCCCTCTGTGTTCGAGAACTGCCACACCGTTAGCCCACCACCCTCCTCGGTCCCCAGAGGAGAAAGTTTATCACGAGGAAAGGGAAGAGCCACCACACAGATCGAGGGCTTCAGTGCTGGTTAGAGCTCAAGTCAAATCCCATCTCCTCTGTTTGCCTGCCGGTAACCTTGGGGAATGACTCACCCTCTCCCAGCCACCATTCTCTCAACCAGAACAGGGATAATGACGCCTGCGTCACAGAGCTGCTGCTGTGAGTAGCAATTTATAAAAACGTAAAGGGCACAGCCCATGCCAAGTACGTAGCCCAGGCTCTAAATGGTGCTTTGTGTCACCATTAAGAATAATTAATAATAATTTTAAAACCCCAGCACTGAGCAGAATGCCCAAAATACAAAATCACTTGGAAATGGGTAACTCATCTCATTGCGGCACTCTCGGGGCACGAAGCTGAGCACACCTTGTCTGGCACGTAGTGAGTTAATGACACGCCTGGCAGCCAAGTTATTGTGGAGCCCCCCCCCCGCCCCCCCCACGCAAGCCCCATACCGCACCTCCCTCCTTAAGTACTGTCCTCAACTCGAGCCTTTTGTTAATCACAATGCTCTACATTTGTATAGAGCTTATAACTTTCTTCTCTTAGGGATTTAGGGTCTATTGTGTCAGTGGCGCTTACACTCTCTGCCTGGGAGGTTTGGGAAGGGCTCATTATCCTCCTTGGCGGCTGAGAGAGGCAGGCACAGAGGAGGGGTGAGGGGAACCGAGCCACATCCGAGTCCCGGCTCACCCACTCTCTGGTTGTGTGACATTTGGGAAGTGGCTTGACCTCTCTGAGCTTCCCAGCTCATAGGATTAGTGTAGAAATGTAAGGAATTTAGCAAAGTGCTTGTGTAGTGAAGAGTGGCTAATTAATCCAGAAGCTTCCCAGGGTGCAAAGAGAACCACATGGCCCTGGTCCTTGCTGTTCAGGGCTTTTACCACAGAAGTTTAGGGTGCTGTGTGGGTCGGGGGGCATCTGCCTGCCTTCTCGCTGCCCCTCTTCCCTATATGCAAAGCAAGAGCTCAGCTTTAAGCACCTTTCAGATATTCAAAGTTGGCCACTTAGGGGAAGGATTCCGCACAATAGTACTGGAGCTTGGCCCTGGTGAGTGAGGACACCGTCACGTCACGCTTTTAAGTGACCTGATTTATGAAATTAACACAGGTACATTACCTGAAGCGAGGATCCCCACCACCCCACCCCCACCCCCCAAGAGCACACAGACCACGAGAGTGCGCGGCTGGGCAAGGCTTTGGAGAGGTGCACTGTGGGAGGCAGGGGACAGGGGGGCCAAGCCCTTGTCCTGGCTGTCCCGATAGGAACAGGGCCCAATGCCCGAGAGACTCCGAGCAGAGGTACAGGGTGTGGACTCGGGACGGGAGATCAAATCCCAGCTCTGCCCTATGGCCGTGTGACTTGGGGCGCGAGCCTCAGTTTCTTCATCTGCAATATGGGCACATGCCACTGCCTTCAGGTCGCTCTCCTGAGAAGCAGAGTTAATGTGCTTCAGGCTCCTGGCACTTGGCAGGTGTCCAAGAAATGCCAAGAAGGGAACCACTCACCTCGAGAGAGCTGCCCAGAGAGGGAACTCAAGTCGGGGGGCTGGGAGGACAGTGGCCAAGAAGGAGGGCTCTCTGGCCTCCAGCTCTCTCATGTTGCAAGTGGAGAAACTGAGGCTCAGGCAGGGGAATAGGGTCCGAGTTCAGGGTCTCTTCTGCTGTGGGAAGCCCCGGACCTCCTGGGTCCTTGTCCAAGCATCTCCATCAGGACTGACCATCTCCGGGGGCCCAGTTCTAGCCACTTTGTGTTCTCATTAAGTTCTCCTGGCAACGTTCAGCAGCGCCATTCCCACTGCATAGCAAAGGAAACTGCCCTCCAAGAGAGGTAGGGGGCCAAGGGTCTCATAGTTTGGGAGGAGACCAGATTTGAACCCACGTCTGTCAGACTCCAGGGTCCTTCCTTCTGCAGAGACCTGAAAGCAAGATTTGGGGCCGGAAGACTTGGTTGTGTATTTCCCAGCTTCCCGGCCAAAGGAATCACAACTCGTGTGATAGAAGAGATCAGGGATTGATCTGTCGGCTTCAGGTTCAGCTAGATCCAGGTGCTCAGTCAGGGCTCTCCGTCTCTCAGCACCCTTCTCCCCCACGTTGGCTTCCCCCTCACAAAGGTTCTCTTCAAGCTGCAGCAGAGATGGCCCGGGCAGCTCCAGGGATCTCTCTTGCTGAGCAGGGAACACCCAAGTCCCAGAATGGCTGACGTGGGTCACATGTCCTCCCTGAACCAGTCACTGTGGCCGGCAGGAGGAAATGTTCTGATTGTCCAGACGGGAGTCGTTTCCTCCCTCCTAGAGCCTGGGGCAGTGGGGGCAGTGGGTGTCTACCCCTCCCGGCACCCCAGACAGAAAGTGTATGCGCCTGGGGGTCCCCAGAGGAGAAGAAGGGGTGGAGGGAGACGGGTGCCAGCAAAACCACAGCAAAAGCGGCCGTTGTCCTTCTAATCTCGTCCACCCAGCCAGGCCCCGGCCATCAGCACAGCGCAGGGGTGTTTACTTAAGGCAGAGGGCTGGTGTTTACAAGGTACAGGAAACGCAGTTTCCTTTGTGGGGGCAGAATGTGCAAGCCGACGTTTGTGGGCATCGCGGAGGCTGAGGCCCCCCGTCGGCCTCCCCACAGCCCCCTGGGCCTCCCCAACGTCTGTCCAACAGCTTTGCTGATGGGGCCTTTCTGCTGCTGGCCCTTGTTCGATCAGCCAGCACCACTTGGGAACTCTCAGGGCCCCGGCAAGAAGGACAACAGTGCTTCCCAGCTATGCTAGGGGTGCAGGGGCTCCGAAAAAGAGAGAGTGGTCCCTGCTCTTCCCCACCCTCCACCTCCCACCCACAGCCGGGCTGAGCCAGGGACGCTAGAGTCCATCAGAAGACACGGCCATCAAGCCCAGGAAAACCTGCTTCCGGTGGGGGTGTAACGCGCCCCCCCGCCCCCGAGCCATCAGGTCAGAAAAGACCCGTTTAAAAACCAGCAAACACCGTTTCTAAAACTTTGGGGGAACCGCACAGGGCTTGTGAGATTTTTCACTTAAAATCTCAAGGAAGCCATCTGAACAGCCGTGCGTACAGATGTAACAGAAGGAAATGGCTTCATTACCTTCGAGCTGATGGAGACCGGGCATTGTGTCTGGTTTTCACAAGCAGAAACCGTTTAGAATGTTTTCGCAAACACTTGGAGAATATGGGCAGGTTGATCCTGGAACACAGTGGCCCATGGCAGGGGTTTCAACACACACAGGGATGATCTCCGGTGTGGACATCCACTACTCATCCACAGTGGGGTCTCAGTCCTGCCTTGCATACCTCCAGTGATGAGGAACTCATTCCCAGCCAAGGCTGCTCCATCCGTATTGCAGCCACTCTAGCTGCTAGGAGGGCCTGCGTGGAGAATTGCACTATGTTTTCTGGGAGCTCCCACCCCTGCGATCACAGCCCACCCAGAACAGGTCTCTGCCCTCGAGAGCCGAGTCTGCCATCTCACCTTGAGTCTCTCCTTGGGCCAAGCCTTTTGACATTGGCAGTTGATCCTTAACTCCCTGGTGGCTCCTCTGTGTCCCCCTAACCAGGGTACACCTGGAAGTCTTTCTCACTGCAGCTAAGCCGGGGGGGTGGGGCTCTCCCCTCGTGGATGTTGCCCAAGGAGGCCCTGACCCTGACTGTTCTGCCCCAGTGTGTATCTGTATGTGTCTGAGTGAGTGAGTGTGTGTGTGTGTGTGTGTGTGTGTGCACGCGCATGCGCGCACGGGACATAAGATCCCAGCTGAGTGTCCTTGGATGTAACGCCTTCAGGAAGGAGTCTCTGACTCCTTCATCTGACCCATGAGAGCAGCTCTGGGCGGTTGGGTGAAGGCAGTGGCTATACTCCTACCTCCCCTTCACTTTCCCCTGGACTTAAGGCAGGGAGGGGCTCCGAGTCCATTTCCTGGGGGTCAGCATCAGTCTCGCCATTTTTGCTGATGAGGACCAGCAGCTCAGAGAGGTTAAGGAACATGCCCAGAGTCACACAGCCATAACTAAGCTGAGATTCTAACCCAGGCGGCCTGACACCAAATCCAGTGTCCATTGGCTCCTATTCTGTGCTGCCGGCTGGAATTCCAGCGAGGGGGCTCGGGCGGGGGATGGGGCCCATCATCCTCCTGGCCAGTAAGGAGTCGCCAACCTGCTTTGGGCCAGGGCCATGGGGGAGGCCGCCACAGGGTCCCTCTGAGGTGCTGCCCCCGCTGCCTCTGTCCCACCTGCCGAGGGGGGTGGCCTGATGTGCAGGCGAGGCTCACGCCAGCGGCCTGGGGGAGGGGAAGCAGGGAGGGTTTCGAGGCCACACAGGCCCGGTGGGGACCCAAGCCCCGGACTGGGACAGACATCACAGCCAGGTCTTTCCCTCCCTTCTCTGGGGACAGAACCTCTTCGACAGCATCAAGAGCGAGCCCTTCTCCATCCCTGAGGATGATGGCAATGACCTCACTCATACCTTCTTCAACCCCGACCGCGAGGGCTGGCTGCTCAAACTGGGTGAGGCGCACACTCAGGCACACGCGGCACACACATGACACACACACACACACACATTGACATATGGCCTCAGGGGTGGAGTCGGGCAACCCCAGGTCTCTTGACCCCCAGGGCGGCCGGCTGCCCGCCCCAGCCCTCCATCAGTCTGTCAGTCTGTCCTGGGAGTGAAGGGGACAGCGGGGGAGGGGAGTGAGGCAGGGCGAATGAGAGGCCGACAGGACCATATCCCTTCAATTGCAATCTTTCTTCCTGGGGCTTCTGAGGAAGCGCAGCCCAGAGAAGTTAGGGTCCCTGTCTGAGGCTACACAGCCAACAAAGTGGCAGCTTTGGGTGGGCAGAGGGTTGGACGTCCCTGAAGGATGTGGGAGGCAGTGGGCAGGATGTGGCTCTGGGGAGCTTCCCTTCAGCATGCCTGGGGGGCAGGGAGGACTCCCGCCCGCAGAGAGGAGCCGGGGGCGGGTGCAGGCACACTGCAGGGACAGTGGCGTCCTGAGCCAGGTAAGAACAGACGCCTCGTGGTGGAACAGAGACCTCGGCTGGGGGTGCCCGTCCCCGCCCCCATCTCTGCGTGAGCACATGCCAGGCTGCCCGTCTGCAGGCCACTCGGTCCTTTCTGGCCCCGCTGGCCATTCTTAGCCCCGAGGAGGCTCTGAGTCACAAATCCGAGCTCCTCAGCGCGCTCACCGGTGGTCAGGCTCCTCAGCCTCCATTTCCCCAGCTGCAAAATGGGGATCACAGGGAGGGTTAAATGTGTAGCAAGATGGCCGAGCACTTAGGATCTGGAAGACGGGACACCGGGTTCAAGTCTCAGCTCTGCTGCAGAACCTTGAGCAGACAACTTAGCTTCCCTCTGCCTTGGTCTCTGCGTCTGTAAAATGGGGTTACTGATGGGCCCTTCCTCATAGGTAGTTCTGGGGGTTAATAAGCAAATATTTTCTAGAAGCGTCGAGAACCTTGCCTGGCAAAGGAAAGATGGAATGCTCAGCTCGGTGCCGGGTGGGCAGGGAGCAGGCGAAGGGACGAAAGGAGGGGGAAGGGTGGCGAAACCAGCCGCTGTTCCCAGGGCCTTGTCCCAGGCGAGCCTCAAACGCCAGGGCAAGCAGCTCAGGGCAAGCCTGGGGGTGAGTGGCGCCCCCGTGAGGAAGTGATGGATCTGGGGGGAAAGTGTGGTGGGCAGGGTGGGGGTGGGGGTTTGGAAGGCTCGAGGGGAGGGGACAGAACAGAGGAATGCACTCAAGGCGCCGCTCTTAGCTCTTAGCGGAAGGAAGGAAGCGCCTGTGGCCCAGGGCCAAGTCCGACTCTGCTGTTGGCCTCTTGCAGGCGGTCGCGTAAAGACGTGGAAACGGCGCTGGTTTATCCTGACCGACAACTGTCTCTACTACTTCGAGTTCACCACTGTGAGCAGGGGTGTCCCGGGCCCGGCCCCGCCCCCCCCATTCCAACCAATAGAGCTTGGGGCCCCTCATTCAGCCCTCCTCGAACCTATTTCACGGTGGAGGGGGGGGGTGTAAGGGGGACGGACAACCGGGCTGCAAAGAGGAGGAGGGGCAAGGCCAAGGTCAGCTTACAGTCTGGCCTCCTAACCCCCAGCCCATGCTCTCCACCGGCCGCTCCCTCCCCCCTCCGGGGCTGGACAGAGTCTGGGAAGATAGGTGCACTCCTCTTTGGGTTTAGGGAGCCCCACAAGTTCACTCCCTGCCCTGGGTCCCAAGGCTTCCTTTGCTGACCTTGGCTTTCCCTCCCATAGGACAAGGAGCCACGGGGAATCATACCCCTTGAGAACCTCTCAGTGCAGAAGGTGGACGACCCCAAGAAACCAGTAGGTGTCGTGCAGGGGGCAGGGGTTCCGGAGACCTGATCGGCTGGGGGATTTCTGAAATGGGGTGTGGGGAGAGGGCGGCTGGGCTGGGCACTCCAGGAAGCCCTCTGCGGGGCTCAGGGTAGCCTCCGTCTCCCTCCCGAGTCTGTAGATCCTGGGGGCCGGGTCAATGGCAGCAAAAGGGCACGGTCTCGTCTCTCAGAGCCTGCCTCTGACGCCGGCTGATGACCTTGAGCAAGTCTCTGTGTCTTTTCTGAGCCTCAGTTTCCTCAGCTGCCCACTGGCGGTTTTAGGGGAAATGGTGGGTTTAAGTCACTCCTGGCACCTAGTAAGTTCTCAATGTAAGGAGGAAGTGCTCCTGCCCCTTCTCCTGGCACAGGAAGCAGCCCCAGGGCGGGCGTGTCTTGCTGCTCCTCTGAGCCCCACATGTCTAGTCCTCGAAGAACCCCCAGGAAAGCCCAAGCCTGACTGCCCTCTCCTCCCACCCCTGCCCCGCCCTCACCCGGCCACCTCCCCACAGTTCTGCCTTGAGCTTTACAACCCCAGCTGCCGTGGCCAGAAGATCAAGGCCTGCAAGACCGATGGCGAGGGCAAGGTGGTCGAGGGCAAGCACGAGTCTTACCGAATCTCCGCCTCCAGCGCGGAGGAGCGTGACCAATGGATCCAGGCCATTAGGTAAGGGGGGGGGGGCGGGGGGCTGGGCCTCCCATCCCTTCCCAAAGCCCCCTGCTCCTCCCCGAGCCTCGTCTGTACAAGGGGGAAAATCCAGAATCTCACCTCTCGTTTCTGACTTGCCAATCCCTTCCGCCCACAGTCTGCAAACACCTCCTCCGTGTGTTGGGCACGGTGCCAGGCCCCGGGGCTCAGGGAAGGGAAGCCCCAACCTCATGGGCTAGTGGGAGGAACCCGTGAGTCCTTGCATGGAAAGCTCTGGGCCCAGCGCCTGGCACGGGGCAGGTGTTCTTGACCGACGCTCTCGTTGGCATCAGGATCCAAAGGGGCCCTGGAAAGAGCGGGTGGAGAGGGAGGGAAGGCCTTTCTAGGTAGAAGGAGCCGTACTGGCCTGGCGCAAGGGTCTGGCCCTACAGGGACCTGCCAGTGGGACACCAGGCCACAGCCGATGGGGAGACACATCAGCCAGAGGAAGACACGGGAGCGGTCACTGGGCCAGGGGCCGTGTCCCAGGGACTCACGGGGCCTTTCCCCTCAAGGCTTGGCAGCAGTCCTGTGAAGCTGCCAGGCGAGACCCGCTCTTGGCTCCATTTCACAGATGAGGACGTGAGGCCCTGACGGGGGAGGGGCTCCCCCAGCCACACTGCCCATGGGGCACAGAGCCAGACCATTAAGCAGGCCACCTGCCTCCCCCTGGGCTCTTTGCACCTCATTCGGGGGCCTGAAGAGGGGTCCAGAGACCTTCCCAAGGCTGTAGCTCTCTGCCTCACCCTCTCCCGCCCTGCCCATGGGATTCTGGGTCAGGCCAGCACAGCTGACCCACTGTAGCTTGGTCCTCCGTGGGATCATGTGGCCTTTCTCCTGCAGCAGGGCTGGCTGTCCCCTCCCTGGGAGACCCACGCCCCTGTTAGCAGCCCTGGGAGCCGAGGCCCCCTTGGGAGCCAGCCCCGCCCTCCGATCTTGTCACCTGCTCTCATTTCAGAGCCAGCATCACCCGAGTCCCCTTCTACGACCTGGTCTCTGCTCGGAAGAAGAAGATTGCCAACAAGCACTGAGCTTCCCGGGAGGTGGTGCCAGGGGCCCCTGTGACCTGTGGTACCTAGAGACATACCTCCCACCCTTTCCTGGCCCACAGACACCCCCCCTGGCCCCCACTACTTTGAACTAACAGGAGTTGGGGGGCGCAGGGCTCAGAAAGGTGGGTGGAAAATTGGAGGGCTCAGGGGTGGCACGGACGCCCCCAGTCCCTGCCAAGAAATGCCCGCGGCCCTCCGCCCCAAGTCCCTGCAGCAAGGAACGAGGAAAGCGGCCAAAGAGAAACCAGCCCCAGAACCCCCCACCCTGTCCCCGGCGTGGGCCTCCATTTCCTCTTCTGTTAAACATCACCTGTTCTCTGAAAGGCTGTGGGCCCTGAGGGAGGAGGGGCAGTACCGCTCCTGAGTGCTCCCTGCCCTCGGCAAGGGCAGCCTCTCTTCCTCCTGCCCAGGGGGGTTCTCAGCCAGCCCCTCCCCTGTCTTCAGCTGTGGCTTGGCCGTCCCTGCCAGAGGGACACGCACACCGCCCAGGACCGCTGGAAGGTGCCAGGAGCACCCGACGGGGAGCCCAGCACCCGAACTCTCGGTCCTCCCCCTGCCCCCCCCGCCCCCCGCTCCGTCTCCAGCCTGCTCGGTACCATCTGCCAAGTCTTCTGCCAAGTCTTAGAAAACCGCAGAGTTTGGATAGAAACACGTTGCCCCCTCCTGTCTCTTTGCACCCCCCACCAGCCCCAGCAATGGCAAGAACCTGGAGGGGGCGGAGCCTAGCGGGGCACAAACTCCGCCTTCCTCCTCCCGGACTCTAGGACTTCCTCCCTTGGGTAGAAGAACCAGACTGTACTGTATCGGCCCCAGGAGCTCCTGGCCGGAGAGGTCTGCGCTTGCAGACTGAGCATGAGGGGCTCCGACTGAAGGCTATTGGGAGGCCAAGAGCAGAGTGCGCTCCGATCTCAAGGACGTCCATTTTGGAAGCGGGGCAAGTGGGACTCCCCAAGAACGTGGCAGAGGGCATCCCAGGCAGGAGTATTCAAGTAAGGCTGGTGGTACAGCCAAGAAGCCCAAGAAGAGAGAGCTTTGTGGACTGTGGTTACCAGGAGGGCTGCCTGGAGGCAGCGCCCGTGTCAGTGAGTGACGTAGAAGCTTGTGGCAGAGTCTCAGCTGCCTCCTCCCCACTGGACCACTGACCAGGGGTCCTGGGGTGGTAAAGGGCTGTCCCGGCCGGGTCCCAGCACCAGCAAGAGTCGAACTGACTTCCCAGCACACAGGCAGACAGCTCTGCCTCCGGGGAGGGCCCAGCCTGGAGGAGGAGTCCTGGAACAGCTCCTTCTCAGAAGCCCGACTCACCCTCTCGCCCAAGCCCCCGGGGGAGTCCCCTGGAGGGAAGTTCCCTGGCAGGAAAGCAGGAGAGGGAGGTGCCTCCGCCCCACTGCCAGCCTGAGTGGGCGAGCCAGAGCTAGGTGGATTCCCCAGGGAAGGGGGGCAATCTCTCCTCCCCCCACCCCCTGGGACGTGGGCACACCTTTCATGGAGTCAGGATAGGCAAGCTGCCTTGTAAGTGTCACCACTCCCCAATCCTCATTTCTGGAGGTGTGCAAGTGCCTGCTAAGGAGGTGCTCCCAGAGTGGGTGTGGATTAGGCCTCTGCAGGGGGTCTTGGAGGACATTTGAGGACTTCCACAGACCCCATGTGGGCCTGGGAGCTGAATGCCACCTCTGCCACCCCATGGGGCTCCTGAAGGGACAGCCGGCGGTCATGGGAGGAGCACTGGGCCGAGGGTCATGGGCTCCCAGGTCCTCTCCCGCCACCGGCATAGCCTGGCTGTGTGGCCTTAGTCCACCCGTTTCCCTCTCTGGTCCCCAGCACCTCCCCCCCCCCCATCACTGAGAGGGAAGAAGCGGTGATTTTTCCAGGCCCGAGTGGCCGTTCTGGGAATCACTCAGAGGAGAGAATAAAACTCATGACGCACTCCGTGAGTGGGGTCTGTCCTCCCTGGGATCACATCTGCTGCCTTTGACCACACCCAGGCCCTTCCCCCTCATCCCTTTCCCAGCTGGAGGCAGGAGGGCCAGACAGAGAAGAGTGGACAGATGTCCCCAGAGGCTGGATTTGTGACAGGGGTCCCTCAGAGCAGGCGCAGGGGTGAAAAGGCTCTGCGAAGGCCCAGAAAAGGTAAAAGAACTTCCCCAAAGGTAGCGTTGTCCGAAGAGAGAATAAGCAGCCACCTCGGGAGATAGGCAATGAGCCTGTGTCTGGAAGGACGCACGTACAGGCTGAAACCACGGGTCACTTGGGGTGTCCGGATCTTGAATTCGGGAACCTTCATATATTTGTACTTCCCACAGTATTTATTAAGTAGCTCCAGGGCTCCAGTCACTGGGCGGGGCAGACTAGCCCACATGGGCTTACGATCTGGCGATCCTGAATTCTAGGATTCGAGGCAGCCCTCTCTGGAGGTGAAGCGCCAGCCCCCACCGGAACCCAGCCCCCTGCCCGAAATTCCACCATCTAGTTGCTCCTGGAAGACTCAGTGCTGAACCGATCAGTTTCTGTGGCCCACGGCCCTGCCACGTACCAGGCTCCTTGCTCAGAACCAGGCATCCAAAGATAATGGCGATAGAGCTGTGGCCCTCAAAAAGCGCTCAGTGCTGGGGGGGGTGGGGGGGGCAGAGACAGCAGTGACAACCTAGGCCAACCCGTGCTGCTGTAGACGGGCCAGGGGAGGGCTGGGCTGGGCTGAGGAGCTGTGCCTGAGTGTCTGTTAGCAGCCCCATCGGGAAAAGGACACATGCCTGAGGTGCTTTGCAGTGAGGCCACCTCATGTCCACCGTCCCGTCCTCGCCCCTCCCCAACCAAACACACCCTGACTGTGAACTCGTGACAGTCACTGCTCAGTGCCTGGCACACAGGAAGTGCATAATAATTCTTGGTTAGATGCAAATCAGGCTAAGATTTGCCAAGGCCGTCTGGGCCTCAGCATAGCAGGCGGAGATGCGTGGAGGCTTGGGGTCCGGGTGCTGCTCTGGGTGGGGGGATTGGCCAGAGGGCGGGGCCACATCGCAATCCAGGAAGGACTCTGACTTCCCCGCCCAGGATCCTCCCTGGCTGGCCTCTGCCCACCTCCCCGCCGTTCCGCCACTACTCGCTGTGGCCAGCAGGCGGCTCCCACCACACATGAATGAGAGGCTCCAGGACCGAGCCAGACTGATGGACGGCGGCCGCAGGCACGGGAACTCTGGAGAAGAGCCTTGGCCTGGGCATCCCGGAAGGGGAAGCAGCTGGTCAGCTAGGATCTGCAGGCTCTGGCAGCCCAAGAGACACCCACAGGCACAGGGGAGCTCAGGTCCGTGCCCTCTGCATGCTGGGCACAGTGGACCCCATGCTTGGCCCAGGAGTCTGACACCCTGGCTCTCTCACTCTCTGGCTGTGGGACCCTGACCTAGTGGCCTAGCACCTCTAGATGTGATCTTCCTCCCTGACGGGCTGGGCCAAGTGCATTCGATGACACATACGTTTAATGAGGACTTCCCTGTGCAAGGAGGCCTCAGACATGGGCACAGAAGCAGCCCCCGCCCCGGAATGGATTGAGACTGTTGGGGAGGGGAGGGGGGAGAAGAGAAGGTGCCACAAAAGCCACTCACTGTGAAGGGTCACAGGGAGGCAGGAGTGAGAGCCGCCCAGAGGGGTTTGGTTCAAAGCTTAACTCTACCCTGTGTCTTCAGCAAGTTTCCTAAGCTCTCTGAGCCTCAGACTTCCCGTCTATAAAAAGGGAATGATTTCATAGACGCAAGATACTTAGAACAGTGTTGGGTACCTACTCAGCTATGCTAAGTGTGATCATTACTATTTATTATTATTATTGTTGTTGTTGTTGTTGTTGTTGTTACAAGGCAGCCCATGCACGTGCTTTCATGGTACAGAACGGGCTGGAGCCATTGGAGGAGGAAAGATTCATGGGAGCAAGAGGGTTGAAGATCTGGAAGGCTTCTTGGAAGAGGTGCCTGTGAAAGATAAGCTAAGTGGAGGCCTGGCTTTTCCAGCCAATGGAGCCAGGAGGAGCCAGGACAGGGATGCATGACCGACTGGGTACTTCTGGGACTCTCTTGGGCCCCAGACCCAAACCCCAGAGGGGCCAAGTGGATACAAGGTTGAGGGAGGCTGGGCCCAGGCAGGGGCTGAGCCGTGGGGACAATGCCATAATCCCTGAGTCTCTGAGACCCCAGTGGCCCTTGTCATGAGGCTCTGACTGGGGATCCAGTGCCATGGCTGCCGGACAGAGCCTGTCACAGAATGAGGGACGACGGGCTTAGCGCCGGATGCCCTGGGATGGAGGAAGAAAGAGCAAGGGCGGGGGGTGGGGAGGGTGCCCTGTGCCTGTGGAGTGAGAGCGCTTCTGGCCTGGCAGCCGGGAGCTGGCACTGGGGCCCCTCACCCGGATGCCAGCAGGCAGGAGATGGGGGGCGGGCAGCCAGGAGTCTAGCGGCAGGTGTGAGAGACCTGGAGAAATTGATTTATTAGGGACAATGAAAGGAGCTAAATATGTTTGCCGGCTCAGCGATGACTCAGGCGTTCCCCAGGGGTCCACAAAGTGTGAGCATCAGAGAATCAAAGACAGGCCTCCTCCCACCCCAGCTGCCAGCCCTGAGCCCTTCCTTCCCCTCAATGAAAGGCCCACTCCCCCCCACCCCTCTACCACACACCCCCCCCCCGTGCCCTGAGTGTTTGGTCCCGTGGGGCAGCAGAGACCCACCCTTCTGCCCAGCCTGCAGTCAGCCTCTCCAGAAGGGTTGAAGAAGTACGACACATCTAGGCCAAAGTCCTGGCCTTGCCCCAAATTTCTGCGTGATCTTGGACAAGCGGCTGACCCTCTCTGGACCCACATTCAGCAGAGAGGACCGATCCCCACCGACAGCCCCTCCTCCCCCTTGCCTGTCTGGCAGCGTCTTTCCCACCCCATTCTGCTGCTTCTAGGCAGCTGTGAGCACAGCTTCCTCTTCCCAAAATCCAACTTCCCTCTAGGAGAAAAGCCAGATTCCACAGGGCCCCCTTGGGGGAGAATATCCTCTTCCGGTACCTGGTTCCAGGCCAGCCCCGGGCGGCGGGAGAGATGTGGAGTCTGAGGCCAGAGGCAAGGAAGAGAGAAGCGGTACAAATGAGTTGCTTGAGGGGCAAAGCAACGTGGGCTTTTGGGAGGGGGCCTGCAGGGAGGAGCAGGGGAGAAGGGCTTACAGGGGAAGGGAGGGAGGGACCTCGCCCAGGAGGTGGGGGGGGGGGACAGTCCTGATGTGCAGGACAGCTCAGGGAAATGTAAGGAGCCCCAGCTCGGAGGCGTGGCCTGTCTGGGGAGCACAGAAGGCTGGGGGGTGCATCGAGGGGAGCTGGCCCAACCCTGGAGGCCTGGAGCCAGGAAGGGTCGTGGCTGGGGCTATCTCTGGGCACTCCCTCTGGCCGCTTGTGGGGATGGATTGAGGAGGCCCAGGGCAGCATGGCGGCTGGAGGAGTTGGGTAAGGGACAGGTAGAGCCCCGACAGGAGCAGCATGGGTATGGGATGGTGGGGAGAGCAAAGAAGTTTCCAGGGCTTCTCCTGCCCCCACTGTGCAAGGCAGGGGCCTTATATGGCCTCTGTCACCTTTGCCCTCGAGGGCAGTATTTATGCAGGTCACCTTTAGATTCTGCATGGAGTTTCTTGGCGGATTCTCAAAACCAGCCCACAAAGACCCAGTGCTCCAGATTCGACCCAGACACCCTGCCCCGCCCCACCGCCCATCAGGCGGAGCATCAGTAGGTCAAGGCCAGGGCACTAACCAGCCCCAGGGCCTCTGCCAGCACCTTGCGTCCCAATCTCCACTATCATCCCCTTTTTAAAGCTCCCCACTTCTCATGGGCACGTGGCCCAGCCCCAAGGACCTGCCCCAGCATGAAATGAAGGCCACCTGACCTGAGACCTATATAGATTCAGAGTGGCTACAAAATCATCATTCAAAACGGGACCCCACTTGAAGGCTGGGTTAGGGGCGATGCGGGCCCAGTAGGACCAAACCTGGCCGCCCCGGGGAACCCGGGGACATCCGCTTACCCAAGAGACTGGTCATATCTGCAAGAGACCACCTGGGGGCGTCCAGGTAGCCCCGTGGGCCAGAACGGATGTGACGTATGGCTGCAAAATCCTAGAGAAGCAAGGGGCAATGGTTTTATGCAGAAGGCACAGGGACCCAGGCCTCTGCCACCACCCAGTTCCAGTGCACTCTTCCCCTTTGTGAGTTTCCTCCAGTCCTGCCCCCAGGCTAGTGTGTGGGCCGATCACAAGGACAGTGTGCCAAGTCCACCATATACCCTCCGCAGATGTCAGCTGCCACCAGTACATTCCTGATGGGGGATTCCTTGCAAGGCCAAGAGCAAGGGTGCCCCTACGGGTACCGGGAGCTGCCCGCGCCATCCTTCCAAGACCAGCTGAAGCCGTCCTCCTACAGGAAGTCCTCCCTGACCACGCCAGCCCGTTTAAGACCCCAGAGATGTTCAGGAAACAGGTGTGCTAGCCCCAAACCTCCAAAGGGCACCCAGTACCCGCTTCTGTCCTGATGTGAAGAGTCCACGGTTTTGGCTTTTGGGGAGATGGCCTCAGGGTCAGGATCAGGATCTAAGCTTCAGTTCTGCTAGCGGACTCCCAAGCCACAAGCCCCTTCTTGGCTTCTGTGCAGAGATCTCCGGCCTCATCCAGGGCTGCCTGGGCACATGAAACCACCCTTCTCCTTCCTCAGGAGGAAACAGAGGCTCGTTGGGGCTAAGAGACATGTCCAAGGGGGGGGCCCAGCATGGGTGCTCCGTGTGAGGAGGACAGAGCAGAAGCCGACACTCACTGAGCACGCTTCCTCACATCTGACCCTCCTATAGCACACAAGGTAGACGAGGTGATTCCCATTGCAGCGAAACCTTCATTCCCCATTCCCTTCTCTTCCTCTGTGACCCAAAG